GAACTAGAACTGAACTAGAACTGACCTCGAACTGAACTAGAACTGAACTTAGAACTGAACTGAACCTGAACTAGAACGAACTAGAACTGAACTAGAACTGAACTAGAACTGAACTAGAACTGAACTAGAACTGTAACTCGAACTGAACTAGAATGAACTGAACTGAACTAGAACTGAACTAGAACTGACACTAGCAACTGAACTAGAACTGAACTAGAACTGAACTAGAACTGAACTAGACCTGAACTAGAACTGAACTAGAACTGAACTAGAACTGAACTAGAACTGACTAGAACTGAACTAGAACTGACTAGAACTGAACTAGAACTGAACTAGAACTGAACTAGAACTGACTAGACTGAACTAGAACTGACTAGAACTGAACTAGAACTGAACTAGAACTGAACTAGAACTGAACTAGAACTGAACTAGAACTGAACTAGAACTGACTAGAACTGACTAGAACGACTAGAACTGAACTAGAACTGAACTAGAACTGAACTAGAACTGAACTAGAACTGAACTAGAACTGAACTAGAACTGAACTAGAACTGAACTAGAACTGAACTAGAACTGAACTAGAACTGAACTAGAACTGAACTAGAACTGAACTAGAACTGAACTAGACTGAACTAGAACTGAAACTAGAATGAACTAGAACTGAACTAGAACTGAACTAGAACTGAACTAGAACTGAACTAGAAACTGAACTAGAACTGAACTAGAACTGAACTAGAACTGAACTAGAACTGAACTAGAACTGAACTAGAACTGAACTAGAACTGAACTAGAACTGAACTAGAACTGAACTAGAACTGAACTAGAACTGAACTAGAATGAACTAGAACTGAACTAGAACTGAACTAGAACTGAACTAGAACTGAACTAGAACTGAACCAGAACTGAACTAGAACTGAACTAGAACTGAACTAGAACTGAACTAGAACTGAACTAGAACTGAACTAGAACTGAACTAGAACTGAACTAGAACTGAACTAGAACTGAACTAGAACTGAACTAGAACTGAACTAGAACTGAACTAGAACTGAACTAGAACTGAACTAGAACTGAACTAGAACTGAACTAGAACTGAACTAGAACTGAACTAGAACTGAACTAGAACTGAACTAGAACTGAACTAGAACTGAACTAGAACTGAACTAGAACTGAACTAGAATGAACTAGAACTGAACTAGAACTGAACTAGAACTGAACTAGAACTGAACTAGAACTGAACTAGAACTGAACTAGAACTGAACTAGAACTGAACTAGAACTGAACTAGAACTGAACTAGAACTGAACTAGAACTGAACTAGAACTGAACTAGAACTGAACTAGAACTGAACTAGAACTGAACTAGAACTGAACTAGAACTGAACTAGAACTGAACTAGAACTGAACTAGAACTGAACTAGAACTGAACTAGAACTGAACTAGAACTGAACTAGAACTGAACTAGAACTGAACTAGAACTGAACTAGAACTGAACTAGAACTGAACTAGAACTGAACTAGAACTGAACTAGAACTGAACTAGAACTGAACTAGAACTGAACTAGAACTGAACTAGAACTGAACTAGAACTGAACTAGAACTGAACTAGAACTGAACTAGAACTGAACTAGAACTGAACTAGAACTGAACTAGAACTGAACTAGAACTGAACTAGAACTGAACTAGAACTGAACTAGAACTGAACTAGAACTGAACTAGAACTGAACTAGAACTGAACTAGAACTGAACTAGAACTGAACTAGAACTGAACTAGAACTGAACTAGAACTGAACTAGAACTGAACTAGAACTGAACTAGAACTGAACTAGAACTGAACTAGAACTGAACTAGAACTGAACTAGAACTGAACTAGAACTGAACTAGAACTGAACTAGAACTGAACTAGAACTGAACTAGAACTAGAACTGAACTAGAACTGAACTAGAACTGAACTAGAACTGAACTAGAACTGAACTAGAACTGAACTAGAACTGAACTAGAACTGAACTAGAACTGAACTAGAACTGAACTAGAACTGAACTAGAACTGAACTAGAACTGAACTAGAACTGAACTAGAACTGAACTAGAACTGAACAAGAACTGAACTAGAACTGAACTAGAACTGAACTAGAACTGAACTAGAACTGAACTAGAACTGAACTAGAACTGAACTAGAACTGAACTAGAACTGAACTAGAACTGAACTAGAACTGAACTAGAACTGAACTAGAACTGAACTAGAACTGAACTAGAACTGAACTAGAACTGAACTTGAACTAGAACTAGAACTGAACTAGAACTAGAACTGAACTAAACTAGAACTAGAACTGAACTAGAACTGAACTGGAACTGAACTAGGAACTGAACTAGAACTGAACTAGAACTGAACTAGAACTGACCTAGAACTGAACTAGAACTGAACTAGAACTGAACTAGAACTGAACTAGAACTGAACTAACGGACTAAACTGAACTAGAACTGAACTAGAACTGAACTAGAACTGAACTAGAACTGAACTAGAACTGAACTAGAACTGAACTAGAACTGAACTAGAACTGAACTAGAACTGAACTAGAACCTGAAACTAGAACTGAACTAGAACTGAACATAGAACTGAACTAGAACTGAACTAGAACTGAACTAGAACTGAACTAGAACTGAACTAGAACTGAACTAGAACTGAACTAGAACTGAACTAGAACTGAACTAGAACTGAACTAGAACTGAACTAGAACTGAACTAGAACTGAACAGAACTGAACTAGAACTGAACTAGAACTGAACTAAGAACTAGAACTGAACTAGAACTGAACTGGAACTGAACTAGAACTGAACTAGAACTGAACTAGACTGAACTAGAACTGAACTAGAACTGAACTGAACTGAACTAGAACTGAACTAGAACTGAACTAGAACTGACAGACTGAGAACTGAACTAGAACTGAACTAGAACTGAACTAGAACTGAACTAGAACTGAACTAGAACTGAACTAGAACTGAACTAGAACTGAACTAGAACTGAACTAGAACTGAACTAGAACTGAACTAGAACTGAACTAGAACTGAACTAGAACAGAACTGAATTAGAACAGAACTAGAACTGAACTGAACTGGAACTGGAACTGAACTAGAACTGAACTAGAACTGAACTAGAACTGAACTAGAACTGAACTAGAACTGAACTAGAACTGAACTAGAACTGAACTAGAACTGAAATAGAACTGAACTAGAACTGAACTAGGACCCCATTGTAATAACACTTTCCTCACAGCTAACAAACAAATATCCTTCAGACCCTTTAAATGTATCTCAAAGAAAATAAGAAAAATCTACTAAGAAATGCTCACCCAAGCTCCACAGTTTTTCGAGTACAGTAATAATACCGCACAAAATGTAATTAAAATTTTATATTCAACTTCATGTTGAAGGCTTCTAAGTAGGCAACAAACACTTAACTGATGATGAAATTGAATTTACCAAAAACTATAAACTCAATATCTACTAAACTTAATGGAAAATATTTAGAATTATTAATAATAATAATATTTAATAAAAGCTAAAATAGCTATAACAAAGCAAATATAAATAAATAAACTAGGAAAAAGAGATGATTTTCCAAGATAATGAAAAATTTACCATCATTTTCAACATGTGCTGTATGAGAACATATGAGTTTTTAACATTAACGAGTCTCTGTTAAGAGATAATGATGGATAGATAAGCTGCTTTTAGCTGTTTAGTTGAGTTTACAAAACGAAAAAAAAAAATGATTCCTAAACTTCAGTGGAGCATTAAATCAGAAAAATAATCAAAAATCACTCAGAGTTCTAGTGAAATGGAACCGAAAATAACAAAACATTTTAATAATAATGAGAATGATGATGAGGAAATGCAGAAAGATGATTATCACGATGATGAGGGTGACGTTTTTTTTTTCCTAAAAGGGAAGTTTAAAACTGTTGAAAAGTGCAAATAGTTTACGTCGAATTTTAAATGAACTTCAGCAAAAAAAACCGGATAATTAAATCTACTAAAATATAAAAGCTTGAAGCTTATTTTAAACTGCAATTAGGGCTACGATTGAAGCTTTACTGAGGCTGCAAAACGAATGGAAAACTAAGCTTAAGTTAGGCTATAAAAAGGTTTACAACTAAAGCTTAACATAGCTTTAATGAAAGCTTTATAGTGAAGCTTTAATGAAAGCTTTTATAGTAAAGTGAAACTTCAGTTGTAGACTGCAATTAGACCTACGATTGAAACTTTACTAAGGCTGCAAAACGAATGGAGAACTAAGCTTAACATAGGCTACAAAAGACCTACAACTTGTCTTGACTATAAAAGCTTTAATGAAAGCCCAATGCGATTTACTAAAAGCTTTACGATTGAAGTTCAACTGAGACTTCAAAAAGATCTAAGACTAAGGCTGTTAAAGGAATGGAGAACTAAGCTTAACTTAGACTACAAAATGACCTACAACTGAAGCTTAACTTCACTATAAAAGCTTTAGTGAAAGCCCAATGCTTCAAGCTCAACTGAGACTTCAAAAAGATCTAAGACTAATGAGGAACTTAAGCGTTAGTCTTACATCTTTTTGGATTGAAACTCAACTTAAACTTTGATGTTTTGGATTGAAACTCAACTTAAACTTTGATGTAAACCTGTCAAACTTCTAAAAGCTCTAAAAATCGCAAATAATTTACGGCTCATCTTAGACCACAAAACTATCAAAAATTAAAGTTAATGTTTGACTGTAAATATATCCATGAATCACCGAAAACTTGTACTATTCGTTCATGTTTTGAATTCTATATGTAGGGTATCAAATCGTTGCAATTATATTGATATTTTAGTAAAAGTTTAATGACAATATTAAAATAATATTTCCAACAATTATGAAAAAACGTCTAAAAACTGATCAAAGATCGATAATAATTAAAACCCCAAAAAAAAGTTCATTATAAAAGCCAGTTTTTATAAGGTTAAAGACATTAAGTTGGTGGCATCAGACAAAGAGTGGTGGTCAATGCAAAGAGTTTTACGTTAACAACAAAATGGCTTCTCTTTCCTATAACCTTATATTAGTCCTAATGGCTCTCATTAGTTTGGCGCTAACCCAAGCAGAGGTAAATTAAATTTTTAGAAACTTTAAATGTCCATAATAAAAATTTGCTTCATTTTCCCCTTTCTAGAAAGTGATGCGTCCGAAATTCAAGGAAGTCAAAGTCTGGAGTGATGAGAAATATATCTCACATACCATTACTATGGATGCCAATGATCCTCATATTAACTTTACACTAAATGTCCTGCAAGAACAGCAAAATGTCGATATACATCTTGAGGGTAGAATTACCCAAAAAGTTGATCCCACTTATTTTTTAACCCTTAATACTACCATGAATTTGTGTAACATTCTACACTTTAATTTGAAATCCCCTTGGGTGCTTTGGTCTCGACATTCCTTAAGGAATATGGTCATATATTGGAGAAATGTCCCATTACTAAGGTGAGTTTATGCGCTAACACACTCAAATATAAAGTCTATTTATATTGATTTTAGGGCACTATTAAATTCTCTATACCTTTAATGCGTAAATTACAGGGTAAATATTACATGCATAAATTCTGGATACCTGAGGATACCGCTTTGGCCACTTTACCCGAAGTTGATTTTGACATCAATTTCCAGGCATTCAATGTGGATGCAAATAAACAGAGAACACTTACCATTAATGATCATTTTACGGGTGAGGTGGTGGTACATGATGTCACTAATGTTAAGCCCGGTTTGTTGGCCTTGTTACCTAAGGTACCAGGTGGCTGAAAGTAGATAAAAAAGAACTCGAGTAAGCAGACATTCTACTGCCGTTTGAATTAAGACAAAAAATATATTTGAAGCATTAATGTTGTAATATGTTGTATCAATAAAAGTCTAGCTTATTCTATCAATGACTAAATAAAATCTTAGAATGTGATTAAGCAATTAATAAATTTCTGGTTAAGTTCCAGTCTTGTTCTAATTCTGTTGTAATTCTGTTATAGTTCATTTCTAGTTGAGTTCTAGTTCAATTCTAGTTCAGTTCTAGTTCAGTTCTAGTTCTGTTCTAGTTCTGTTCTAGTTCTGTTCTAGTTCTGTTCTAGTTCTGTCTAGTTCTGTTCTAGTTCTGTTCTAGTTCTGTTCTAGTTCTGTTCTAGTTCTGTTCTAGTTCTGTTCTAGTTCTGTTCTAGTTCTGTTCTAGTTCTGTTCTAGTTCTGTTCTAGTTCTGTTCTAGTTCTGTTCTAGTTCTGTTCTAGTTCTGTTCTAGTTCTGTTCTAGTTCTGTTCTAGTTCTGTTCTAGTTCTGTTCTAGTTCTGTTCTAGTTCTGTTCTAGTTCTGTTCTAGTTCTGTTCTAGTTCTGTTCTAGTTCTGTTAGTCTAGTTCTGTTCTAGTTCTGTTCTAGTTCTGTTCTAGTTCTGTTCTAGTTCTGTTCTAGTTCTGTTCTAGTTCTGTTCTAGTTCTGTTCTAGTTCTGTTCTAGTTCTGTTCTAGTTCTGTTCTAGTTCTATTCTAATTCTGTTCTAGTTCTGTTCTAGTTCTATTCCAGTTCTGTTCTAGTTCTGTTCTAATTCTGTTCTAGTTCTGTTCTAGTTCTGTTCTAGTTCTGTTCTAGTTCTGTTCTAGTTCTGTTCTAGTTCTGTTCTAGTTCTGTTCTAGTTCAGTTCTAGTTCAGTTCTAGTTCAGTTCTAGTTCAGTTCTAGTTCAGTTCTAGTTCAGTTCTAGTTCAGTTCTAGTTCAGTTCTAGTTCAGTTCTAGTTCAATTCTAGTTCAGTTCCAGTTCAGTTCTAGTTCCGTCTAGTTCTGTTCTAGTTATGTTCTAGTTCTGTTATAGTTCTGTTATTCTGTTCTAGTTCTGTTCTAGTTCTGTTCTAGTTCTGTTCTAGTTCTGTTCTAGTTCTGTTCTAGTTCTGTTCTAGTTCTGTTCTAGTTCTGTTCTAGTTCTGTTCTAGTTCTGTTCTAGTTCTGTTCTAGTTCTGTTCTAGTTCTGTTCTAGTTCTGTTCTAGTTCTGTTCTAGTTCTGTTCTAGTTCTGTTCTAGTTCTGTTCTAGTTCTGTTCTAGTTCTGTTCTAGTTCTGTTCTAGTTCTGTTCTAGTTCTGTTCTAGTTCTGTTCTAGTTCTGTTCTAGTTCTGTTCTAGTTTCTGTTCTAGTTCTGTTCTAGTTCTGTTCTAGTTCTGTTCTAGTTCTGTTCTAGTTCTGTTCTAGTTCTGTTCTAGTTCTGTTCTAGTTCTGTTCTAGTTCTGTTCTAGTTCTGTTCTAGTTCTGTTCTAGTTCTTCTGTTCTAGGTCTGTTTCTAGTTAGTTCTAGTTCAGTTCTAGTTCAGTTCTAGTTCAGTTCTAGTTCAGTTCTAGTTCAGTTCTAGTTCAGTTCTAGTTCTAGTTCAGTTCTAGTTCAGTTCTAGTTCAGTTCTAGTTCAGTTCTAGTTCAGTTCTAGTTCAGTTCTAGTTCAGTTCTAGTTCAGTTCTAGTTCAGTTCTAGTTCAGTTCTAGTTCATTTCTAGTTCAGTTCTAGTTCAGTTCTAGTTCAGTTCTAGTTCAGTTCTAGTTCAGTTCTAGTTCAGTTCTAGTTCAGTTCTAGTTCAGTTCTAGTTCAGTTCTAGTTCAGTTCTAGTTCAGTTCTAGTTCAGTTCTAGTTCAGTTCTAGTTCAGTTCTAGTTCAGTTCTAGTTCAGTTCTAGTTCAGTTCTAGTTCAGTTCTAGTTCAGTTCTAGTTCAGTTCTAGTTCAGTTCTAGTTCAGTTCTAGTTCAGTTCTAGTTCTGTTCTAGTTCAGTTCTAGTTCAGTTCTAGTTCAGTTCTAGTTCAGTTCTAGTTCAGTTCTAGTTCAGTTCTAGTTCAGTTCTAGTTCAGTTCTAGTTCAGTTCTAGTTCAGTTCTAGTTCAGTTCTAGTTCAGTTCTAGTTCAGTTCTAGTTCAGTTCTAGTTCAGTTCTAGTTCAGTTCTAGTTCAGTTCTAGTTCAGTTCTAGTTCAGTTCTAGTTCAGTTCTAGTTCAGTTCTAGTTCAGTTCTAGTTCAGTTCTAGTTCAGTTCTAGTTCAGTTCTAGTTCAGTTCTAGTTCAGTTCTAGTTCAGTTCTAGTTCAGTTCTAGTTCAGTTCTAGTTCAGTTCTAGTTCAGTTCTAGTTCTGTTCTAGTTCTGTTCTAGTTCTGTTCTAGTTCTGTTCTAGTTCAGTTCTAGTTCTGTTCTAGTTCTGTTCTAGTTCATTTCTAGTTCTGTTCTAGTTCTGTTCTAGTTCTGTTCTAGTTCTGTTTTAGTTCTGTTCTAGTTCTGTTCTAGTTCTGTTCTAGTTCTGTTCTAGTTCTGTTCTAGTTCTGTTCTAGTTCTGTTCTAGTTCTGTTCTAGTTCTGTTCTAGTTCTGTTCTAGTTCTGTTCTAGTTCTGTTCTAGTTCTGTTCTAGTTCTGTTCTAGTTCTGTCCTAGTTCTGTTCTAGTTCTGTTCTAGTTCTGTTCTAGTTCTGTTCTAGTTCTGTTCTAGTTCTATTCTAGTTCTGTTCTAGTTCTGTTCTAGTTCTGTTCTAGTTCTGTTCTAGTTCTGTTCTAGTTCTGTTCTAGTTCTGTTCTAGTTCTGTTCTAGTTCTGTTCTAGTTCTGTTCTAGTTCTGTTCTAGTTCTGTTCTAGTACTGTTCTAGTTCTGTTCTAGTTCTAGTTCTGTTTTAGTTATGTTCTAGTTGTGTTTTAGTTTTATTCTAGTTCAGTTCCAGTGCAGTTATTTAACAGTTCATCCGTATCCCACTCCTTGTTGAAGTAGTAGTCTTTAAAATTTACTTTGCATAATCTCAATATCCATCAAATTTAATTGACAATCGTGTTCATTTCTAGACACTTTTGCCAATTCACATCAATGTCATTTAGTACGTAAATTATAACACAAAAAAACATGCTTAACAAATATTAAATACTAATAATAAAATTTTCGTTTTCTCAGAAACCATAAAATCTATCAAGTAAAAATATTAAATTATTTTTTTATTTTAAAAATCCATTGAAAACAAACCAATAAAATATAATTGTAGTCGTATTCCTTGTATTCCCCGTTTAATATGATTTATATAAAATTAAAAGAAATTTATTATGCAAAACACAATGGTGTTTTGAAATTGTTTGTCTATTAACACTAAAAGAATTTTGAACAGTTTTTATAATGATGTGAGTTCGTTTATGAAACAAATTTTTGGGTGGAGGATGATTATGATGGTGATAATATGAAATTAGATATTAACTGATGTTTTTTTGGGGAAAGATTTATATAGAGGATGTTGTTGATTTGAGGGGATGTAAATTAGTTTGGTTAGATTGAAAACAAAATAATATAATAAATAATAAAAAATTTCGAATATAAATGAGAATGACAATATTAAAGGAAACACTTAAAGAGGGACAGTTTCGGTTTTAAATAAGTGCTCAGATTCTAAATGGAATCTAATTCTGAAATATTTTGTTAAGCGTAATTAATATTGAACAAAAACTGAGATAGAATTGAAATAGAAAGGAAAGGGAACTAATGTGCGGAGATTTTCATATATCATTCTTGTTATATTAAAGGAAAGGAAATCCTACAAAATTTTTAATTTATAAAAATATATGCTTAAAATTTAATATGTTTTTATGTCTCCCATAAAATTGTAATTTTTTTTTTTTATTTATAAAACAAAACCAATTAAATGTCTACAAATAAATTGGCCACATTCATAATTAATGTCACATTTACATACAGAAAATATTCATTAAACATTATAACCTAACTAGACATCTCATTTACACTCTATAGCCCACCTTTAACCCTTCCATTCTATCGTAACCGGGTTTAGTTTAATTTATTTTAACGCCCTGGTTTAATGACCATTTCTCCATTTATATTCATTATAAAAACACGAAAACTGTCATTGTCACTTGATTGAATTTAATTTTTATTTGAAAACATTTTTTATTGTCATTGTAACAGGTATCAATTTAAATTGTCCTTATTTATTTATAACAATTTATTTATTTTTTTTTTATTTTTAAAATTTTTCGCTACAATATTTTTGTCAGTCTGTTATTGGTGGTTTTCAGTTATTTTGTATTTCGACCATAATTTTATTAGAAATTGTGTAAAATAATTGTGACCACAATTATTGCATTTCAATCAATTTAACTTTTGGACAAAAAATTTATAATAATTTGCGTATATAAATAATGATAAATAAAAATAATAATAATTTTTGCATACTGCATAAAAGAATTTGTTTGTAGAAAATTTTATCAAAATTATAGGAATCAGTAATTTTTTTTTCACATTTTACCATAATTTACATAAATTGACGAATGATTTTGATGTTGGAAAAATTATGAATTGGACGTTTATTTTTTTGTTTAATGCAAATTATGATTGAAGTTAATGAAGTTAAATATATGGCATGGTAAATTATCCTTTTAAGGATTTGCTAGTAGTGAATTCAAATGATGTAATATACTTGACCAGTATAGTCATAGTATTATTCTGGAACTGTTCCAGTTCTATTCTAGTTCTTTTATGACGCTATTGTAGTTCAGTTCTAGTTCTGTTCTTATACACTTTTAGTTATGTTCCAGCACTTTTTAATTCTCGTTCTATTGTAGTACTGTTGTAGTTCTGTTCTAGTTCCAGCTCTGTTCTAGTTCTGTTCTAGTTCTGTTCTAGTTCTGTTCTAGTTCTGTTCTAGTTCTGTTCTAGTTCTGTTCTAGTTCTGTTCTAGTTCTGTTCTAGTTCTGTTCTAGTTCTGTTCTAGTTCTGTTCTAATTCTGTTCTAGTTCTGTTCTAGTTCTGTTCTAGTTCTGTTCTAGTTCTGTTCTAGTTCTGTTCTAGTTCTGTTCTAGTTCTGTTCTAGTTCTGTTCTAGTTCTGTTCTAGTTCTGTTCTAGTTCTGTTCTAGTTCTGTTC